AGATTTTTTTTTTTTTTTTTGGTAAAATGTAGCTCAAATTAGTTAAAAATGAAAAAAAATAAACATTGTACAAATATATTTATTCTATAACGACACATTTATTCTATATTTAATCTATAAAACGTCAAGAAATAAATATATGGGTACATGAAAACAAAAAATTCTAATGCTAGTCTCATGGTCCCAAGAACTACAGATTTTACATAATATTTTATTTTTAACCAGATGATCAACAACAACTGCAGCTAACTTAGTCTCTGAAAGCAATGTCCTAGTTATTCAATGGATAATAATTAAAGGAACAGTTCACCCAGTTATTTATCACAACAGTTATTTACTGACTCCTGTGGCTCTGAACAAGGGCCTCTGCTGCACAGGGTTTCATTGGATGTCAAACTAACCGAGCCAGTAAAAGTTTGAAAAGAAATGGAAAGAATTTCTAGGCACACCACTCATTCCAAAGCTCTGGGCATTAATCCGATAAGAGAGACCACTAAAGGCCAGTTCACACCACACCATCAGACACAGACCAGCGCTGACAGCCGACCAGTATGTCACTTCTCAGATATCCCAAGAGCCGACAAATGTCGATTCAATTGGCGAAAACAAGTGCCAACCAATGCCAGCAGACAATGACACACTAATCAGACAAAACCTGACCAGTGTATCTGTTGCCAGTTGTCGCAATCTGTCGGTACAGTGTGAATTGGCCTTAAGAGACACTCATATGATTCATATGACTCATATGATAGAATACAAAATGAGAATTTTTGAGGAATATAATATCCACTCTTTTCAATAAAATGAAAGTAAAAAGGACTGGAACTATCAAACTCCAAAATTACAAACAATGCACTGTAAATACATAATAAAAGTATATACCAAATCTTCTCATACAAAACCATGTGTGGCAGGCAGACTGACTGAAAATTAAGCTATTATTTACTAAAAAAAATTTGACATCCGTAGTAGATCTCAAGAAAGGAATACAGATATCCATTGTCTCATAAATATAGTTCCTAAAAATAAACTCCAGTCTCTATTCATTGCAAATGGGTGGAAAATGGCAACCAGTATGTTACTGTACTTAAAAACAAAAGTCAAATGCAAAATACTAAGAAAAATCATAACAGAATCTCATTTTAGGTGAACTAAGCCTTTCGTTTGATTTCCAAACATCTGGAAGAGTTAATTCAGTTCCATAGAGAAAATCGTTTAGTGATGTAGCGTCCACTCATTAGTGCTACAGGAAGACTGTTCTGAGATCAGCTGAGATCTCCTCATCTTTCACCCAGTTTATTGTCCAATTAGCCGCATTTCTGGGAGCCATTAATGAACATCCTCTCCTCTCACCTCTCTTTACCAGGCTCAAATGAAGTTATTGCTGATCTGACGCTGATGTTCGAATAAATCTTCAGTTTCAGCACTGTAGGCATCACCTGTGAAACAACGGTGTATCAGAATTTAGAATGTACGTGCTTGAGTATACATACATATATGTCATGGTTCATTCATTGTTAGGGGGATTATACCTGCATGACAGCCATACATAAACACTCTGTGTCCATCATATTTACATCGACAACGCATGACGTTGTTCATAAAATCTGATTCAGCCATGTCCAGCGACGGATTTACCTCAACCTGACAAAACACACACACACACACACAGAATAAATAGAGTTGTTTAGTAATGAGGTCAAATTGTAGGGCAACCCAGAAGGATAGTTTGCCCTGGGATCCCTCAGGAATTACTAATGGGTAAAAAAAAATGTCTGGTTAAGATTACTAAGAGACTTTCACTTTTTGTATATCAAAAATCAAACTCAATTATACCTCAAACGCGAATTTTGAAGCCGCTTCATTTTTTAAATACATTTTAATTTTTTATATAGGTTTGCAAACAATTTGCTACATAAGGACCATCTAAATAAAATTAAGTAATATTAAAAATTATAATAATTATTATTATAGCATTAATAATAATAATATAAAACACACACAGTATTACATTATTAAATACAAGCAGTTTTATTATGTCTGCCTGAAATAATATTTAGTCATCTGGTGTCATTTAATCGTAGCACTGTAAACGTTTCATGCGGAACCAACAAGGATGTGGAGCTTGTAAGAAAATGTTATGCAATCAGATTGCTCATCAAACTACTTTACAAATTGGTTCCACCAAATAAGGCTCCCAAAATAGTTATATAGTCACAATATAATCATTTATTAGTATGAAAACATGCTGTTTAAGCAGGGTATGGGGTCAAACGAGCATCTCTGAGCTACATCATTCTATGGAAATTTAATGTGGTAATGCTTACTAGGCTTAAGAACTTTTTAAATGCTGAAACAACAGTTCTTTTATTTTATTCTGGAAATATTTTTCTTGCCGAAGGTAATTATTTTGTGAGCACATTCAAATGTGAGTCTCACTTATCTTTTTTTCTTTGCGCTTGTAATGACAGTGTGCAACTTTAACGCTGGACTGTGGAGCTCTGGGTTTGTCTGACCATATGTTTGAGTGAGAAAGTGCCTTTAAACAGACGGGTGTAAATTCCTCTGAACCTAATTGCCCATGTCTAATAGAAGGGAATACAGCACGCCTTGCTCCTCCAGCAGGGAATGCTTAGCATTGGGTTATTTTGGGTGTAGATTTAAAGACAAGCAACATGTTTGCTTGGATCATCAAGTACAGAAACTTCATTTATTCAGCGTCTTTGCTCAGGCGGGCTTGCATGGGACAGTTGCCATTGCTCTACATGGAGATGGGAGCTCTGACCTTTGAGTATCACCACGGCTCGCTGCTGTGCCATACATAGCAGCAGCCTGATGCCGGTTTGTAATTAGCATCTGCCAAACGTGCTTAAAATACATGCAAATCTATCATGGCAACATTTCGAGCAAATAAATCTTCAAAATGGTCAAGGCACAAAGGTACACTGTAATTAAAATAAAGCTTCACATCAACCTATATTTTATGACTGGGATGCATAAAATGCCTCTTGATTGGCCCCCAAAAAGTGGCTCTTTGATTGGCTGGTTCTGCATGTGAAGCTCAGCTGAGGAAGTGCTCACTGTGCCCACAGTGATTTGGATGATTAACACGTTCCAAAGTTAATGACAGAGAAAAAGTGGCTAAACTGCATCCTGAAAAGAGAATCTACTGTGTAAAAAAGTTTCGTGCTGTGACTGCGGATACCTGTACTGTACCTGAAAAATCTAAAGCAGTTTATTATATTATATTTTATTTTATTTGTCCAATTTATTTATTTTTTTTCTATCTCAATGTAAGCATGCCTTTTCCGCTGGTCCTTTTTGGTATCAAATTTAAGGCCATAAAAAGTACAATGGGGACGGAAATACAATTGTCATATAGCATAATGTGATGATTAAAATGAAAAAGGCTATGATTTCATTGGATAAATATGAGCGCTGCAAGTTTCAAAGTCTATTTTTATGCAGTTCTGAAAGCGCCACCTGCTGGCTATGGCGTTATTTTAATGACAAATGTCGAGAGCGCATTATTGTAGCGTGAAAGCACATTAATTGCTCTCGCACAAAACCGGACGCGCACGCTCGATACACGCTGCTCTCGCCCAGAGAGTGTGCGCACACTTAAAACGTGTCTCTCCTCTCACTCAAACTGTGTCCTGTGCACTCGCAAATCTCTCTGTGCTCATG